GACACTTTTGGCGAACGCTTTGGGCTAAGCTGGGAACAAAGCTCTCATTCTCAACTACGTGTCATCCTCAGACCGATGGACAGACCGAGGTGGTGAATAGAACGTTGTCCACACTTCTAAGGACTTTGGTGAAAAGTAACCTCAAGACATGGGAAGAGTGCCTGCCTCATGTCGAGTTTGCTTACAATCACGCTAAGCATTCTGCTACTCTCTTTTCTCCTTTTGAAATTGTATATGGGTTTAATCCACAATCACCTCTAGACTTGATCCCTTTGCCTTTAAGTGGAAAATGCAGTTTGAATGGCAAGGAGAAAGCTGAACAGGTCAGAAGAATTCATGCTAAGGCTAAGGAGAATATTGAGAAAAAGACAAAGCAGTATGAGAAGCATGCCAACAAAGGACGAAAGGAGCTGATTTTTGAAGAAGGCGATCTGGTGTGGATCCATCTGAGGAAGGAGCGATTTCCAGCTGAACGAAAGAACAAGCTAATGCCCAGAGTGGATGGACCATTCGCAGTCATCAAAAGAATCAACAACAACGCCTATCAGATTGATCTTCAAGGTAAGTATGATGTTTCTGATACTTTCAATGTTTCTGACTTGCTTCCTTTTGTTGCAGATTCTGATTTGAGGGCAAATCCTTTTCAAGAGGGAGAGGATGATATGATCGTGACCAGCTCAGAGGAGGAGGAACCAGAGGTAGCTGGCAGGATCACTCGTTCCAGAGCTAGAGAGATGGCTAAGGAGGCTCACGCACTCATTGCCACAGAGGACAGCGATCACCAGGAGGCTGGAGCTCACATCTTCAACATCTCTATCTTGAAGAATGAAGAACCCAGTAACAATGACTAGGTAACTTAGGTGATGATTCTGTACTCTTTTCCTTGGTGAGGATTTTGGAAGGCAAGGAGGTTCTTCTCCAAGGTTTTTAACGAGGCAGAAATCATTGCTACGTCGAGTTACTTAGAAGTTGTTACTAATGGGTAATAACGTGCAAAGTCACAATGACTTGTGCACTAGTTGTTTTAGGCGCACCATTTAGGTTTAGAAGGGACGCCTCGCTGTTTTATTTTTAAATTAAACTTCTTGTTGTTTTATTTCAAACTCCATGTTGTTTTGTTATTAGGGCTGCGATTTTCTCTCTTAGTCTATAAAAAAGAGAAAATCGCCTAAGTCATATTCAGTGAAGAATTTTGATCAAACTTTTAACGTGTTCTTCTCTCTTTGATTTCTGAGAACTAAAAACTCTGAAATTCGAATCTCTTAAAAACTAATTCCGTTTACAAGAGATTCTTCTATCTTATCATCTCATCATCACCACACCAACAATCGATCATCTTCTCATCCTCCACCATATCCATCGATCCGCCGAGCCACCATCATCACCATCGATCCGCCACACCACCATCGCACATCCACGATTCGATCTGCCGAGTCTCCACCATCATCTCTCATCGTCGCGAGCCATCCTCGTATCACTACCACCATCCTTTTCGCTTCATCGTTTCAGTCTATCCACCATATCGCCGCATCTATTGTTCTTTGCTTCAGAGTAGATCACCTTGGATCGTATCACGTATGCTCTCATATATAAACTTCTGTAACTGTTTCTAGATGATATAAGAGTAATCCAACCGTTTGAATTCAATATATAGACATAACTACTAGAGTTCATAACCGCTAATACATCAGACCAACCAGGCGCCCCGTTTCAATCTTAATTTGAGTTAACAAACCGCCAGTACAGTTCAGACAAGGTCGAAGTTCATAAAAGTAACTTACTTTTAGAATTCTGAGCAGGCCATTCTAGAAGAAGAGGAGCGAATTGTACTTTGGAGCTACACCGCCGGCGTGGATTGAGACGACTCGCGTGGATGGGATGTTCAACCCGGTCACTCCGTCGCGGGGGCATGGGCGGTATGGGCGACTGCTCCGTCGGAGCTGTCTTCGAGTTACTCCGGAGCACTCGCCTGGACACCGGAGGCACGGTGTTGCGCCTAAACGATTTTTTTACTCTCCGCGCCATTACAACGGTCACTCGGAGGGCTAATCGGAGATGAATTGCCGGAGATGCTAGATGGACTACGTCCAGATGTGGATCCCAAATTTTATTTTTAATTTAAATGTTGGGGTGTCGATAAATTATATATTTGGTTTTACTACGATTTATGATATTGGACTTCGGTTTATAATTTTGTGTAATCGGTTTACCAAATCGGATTTTACCAGAAATTTTTAGTTATTTTACTTCGATAATGGCAATTTTGAAAATAAAAAATTGCTTTGGGCCCTAGCGGGAAGACAAACAGTAAAAACAGCCCTATCCTTCCTTTGTTTTGAAAACATCCTATTCCTCTAATTTCAAACTTAAAAACTATCCATACAGCTATTTTCTCATTTTTTTATACCATTTTTCTACAAACTTATTACAAAAGTAAAAATGATAGGAAATAAAAGTGATAGTAAACATAAAACCAATTTTCTACGATAAAAATCATTGGAAAACGATCAAAAATTTATCATCAACATTCAACCAAAATAATATCTGTAAAAAAATTTATCAGAAAAATGGTAGGAAATCCGTTAAAATTTTTTATGTGATAATAATAAAAAATTCGTCAGAAATTTCTGACGACTTTTCTACACACAGAATATATAAGAAATTACCTATCACTTTCCTACAAAATAAATATTTTATTATTTAAATGTCCTTCAAATTTTCTACCAAAATCAATCAAAAAAAGAAATGGAAAAGGTCTCACATCGACAAAATAGAGGTTAAGAGCACACTCAACATGTTCTATAAATAGTGTTATACAAGGTAAATGTATGGTGATTCATACAGATCGGAGAAAGACCCAAAGTTTTTTCAAGATAGAGCAATTCTTAGCTCGATAAATGTAGACGTGGGATTAATAAACAAATATATGTTATCGGAAGTACAAGGTAAACATATTTAACGCTTTATAAATATAGATATATGATCTTACACTTGAGTTTCATATCGATATTTTTAGTTATACTTAGTGAACTTTGTTTAACATTTTTCTAGGTGAGGAACATACATGTTTTAGCTCGGACAGTATTGATACTTCTGATAAAGGCAAGATTGACGAAAAAGTCTACACCCAAGAATATCTTAATAATATTAAGATCTTAGGAGTGTCGAACCATGAGTTGAAATTAAAAATAGGAACACCTATTATGTTGCTATGGAATATTGAGCCTAGAGGTAGTTTATGCAATGGAACAAGACTCTTGGTAACACAATTGGCCAAACATGTTCATAACTAATGAGTATATTGGTCAAAAGGTCTTAATCCCACGAATGTTTGTTTTCCCTACCGAGACAAAATTTTCTTTTAGAATGAGGCGTCGACAATTCCCTGTAGCCAATGACTATCAATAAAAGCCAAGACAGATTTTGCAAAAAGTTGTATTGTATTTACCATAACCCGTATTTTCTCATGGACAACTTTATGTAGCTATATCACGTGTTACTTTGAGATCTAGTTTGAAGATTCTGATAACGAATACTATGGGTAAGCCACAAACTAATAATTTGAACGATGTATACAAGGCCGTCTTTCAGAATGTAAAGAAATAATAGTTTATTTTATTTGTTTTGGTTTAGTCGGCGCCTAGGTGGCCGCCTAGATGGCTGTAAGGGGTTAACTGACCCGATTTTCATAAAATCAGTGAAGCAAATCTGGTTTAGTAATAAATTGGACCAAGTCGGAGAAAATCGGAAAAATCAGACCAAATTGGTAAAATCGGTCAAATCAGACTAATTATTTTTATCTATTTTTCAATTATTTTTTATGGTTTTGGATGGTAAACCAACATCAATTTACAGAAATGAGAAACAAAAAAAAAACAAACGAGATTTGATACGTTGGTTTAGGTTTAATAACATAATATAATCATCCCCACTTCTCCATCGTCGCTTATCTCATTCCTTTATAAACTTTTACTGAAGAATGGTTAGTCGATCCATTTCAAATTAATGAAGAACCTAATGATCATCCTACTTACCAAACCCAAAGTGATGAGCCAACTATAAAAATGATATAGCCATTGATTTTGAATTTGAGTATGAAAATGAGCAGGTGGTGGATATGGATGTGTTTGAAGAATAAGTTAGATAAATTTCTCTTTGTATTACATTTTTAAAGTTTTTAGATTAAAACTTACTTTAATTTGAAGAATTTGATGATTCTTAGTTTGGTTTTTATGTTGAAATTTATTCTATAATTTTATTTATCAATTTTATTTATTTATTTTTATTAAAACATATATTTTGACAAAGTAATTTAAAAAAAAACGATTAAAACTTTGCTAATGTCTAGTCTCTAACTATTCCGCCTAGTCGCTAGTCTCCTATCACACGCCTAACTATCACTTAGTGATTTTTTAAACATTATTTATAATAGTTAGTATTGTTAAAACAAGAGAATATTAAAACATATTATTTTAAAATATTATATATAATTTATAAACATTCTATTTAACCTTTCAAAATATATATATAACTTATAAATATTCTATTTAGCCTCTACAAATTTTGAATTTATAAATATCCTATTTAGCCTCTACAAATTTTGTAACAAGCTTGGTATACATTGTAAGTCTTGACGAAGATATCCATCTAATTTATATAATAATTTGTTTAATATTTTCCGTGAGAAATTATGACACCTTAATTTTAGTATAAAAGTGTGTTAAAAATGCATTTATGGTTTAAAAGGAGGTAAGTATTATTATATTAGTTTTTTTCAACCTTTTTCATATATAGAATTCGCTTCAAAATACTAGAAAATGGTATCTTCGTTCTCATATCAATGTATGAACCTAATCTCATGTGCAGATCAAAATACCCAAGTTGTTCCCATTACTTTGAAATGGAGGATTAACATTTCAACAACGAAACAAAGAGATGCTGATGGCTCACACGTAATCAAATGAAACCATTAGACAAACCATAAAGCAACCATCAAACCATAGATAAGAAGATAATTGAAGAGAACACAAAATCATCAAACCTAAAAAGGGTCTGAGATTAACAAAAGAAACAAAAGTGTTCAAAAAGAAACGAAACTTTCCAGTTTGTCTTTAGCCTGTTCATCGTGATACGACTAGGAAAAAAAGGATTCAATGTCTTTTAACTCTAAAAACCAGACACCTTCAAAAGATTTATTAAAGCAGGGAGGACTCATATGAACAAAATACGGCGAAATACATGCTCATATTCGTATTTCCATCAAGATCAAAATGGTAATGATTCGGGGATTTACCGCACAGGCTGTTGGTTATAGTGGCTCTTCTCTTTCTTCTTTGCAGCAGCCAGCTTTGCACGTCTTGCAGCTGCCTCCTGAGCAACAGTTTTCGCTGCAGCATCCATCTCTTTGCTTGATTTCTTCTTCCTCATGGATGCAATCTTTTTTAGCCTTTCCTTGACATCCATCGCAGATTCTTCCTCAGTCGGTTCAGACCCGGCAGCTTCGTCTACAGCATCAGATTTGCTGTTTGCTGCTTGTTCTTGAGATTCTTTTACCTCCTTTTGTTTATCCTTCTTTTTCTTCTTTTTTGATGCCTTTGACTCCCCACCTGCTGCGTTCTCTTTCTTCTCTCCCTCTCCATTGAGATCTTCTTTCTTCTCCTGTTTAGGCTCTGTGAAAGAACACGCAAAGTAGTCAGATTAAACTTCTATCAGTATTAGCAAAAAGCTACATAGATCAAAACTTCCTATTGATACAACACATTAAATAATAGAAATACAGTAGAGCACAATTGTCTGAAGCAATCAATATCATTGATTGTTCTAGTATATATAAAAGGGCAAGAGTTGAAAACATAAGTACCTTGAGAGTCCTCTTGGCCATTATTCTCTTTGGGGGCAACTCCAAAATCTGCTAACAAAGCCTCTAGCTCGGCAAGTTCCTTCTTCTTTCTCTCTTTCTTGGAAAGTTGCCTCTCTGCCTCCTTAGGAGGTGCAGGAACTTCGGGAGCTTTCTTCACCTCAGGCTCTGGTTCTGGATGAACTTGTACCTCTGTTTCCTGATCGTGCTCTTCGTCCACATCATCATCGCCTTCATCAAGAATGTCTTCCTCACTCTCACTTTCCTGACAATAAAAAACAAGCGAGTTTTCATCAAATCACACATGCAATCACGCTAGAAACAAGTGAATCTGAACAAAAACGTTTTAAATAAGAGAAGGAGAAACCAAAGCCTATATATTAGGCTGTCAAGGAAATGATACCACAACATGTGTAACACAAAAGTGAAAACATTCAGGAAGGAGAAAGCAACTAGCTTCAGAGAGAAACAGCATGAGCAACGATAACAATTCCTTCTTCTCCCACACCCAATTAACCCATCAAACATAAACATAGTAGAAATCAACAACCGAACAAAGAGAACCGTTAAGAGATAGACAGATAGCAACTCAAAGCTCAATAGGCATACTACAAATACCACAACCAGCTCAGGAACCAGAGAGACAATACAATGCTACCACTACACATAAGTGATAACATTCAAGAAGGAGAAAGCAGCAAGCGTCAGAGAGAAACCGAATGAGCAACGAAAAAAAAAATTCCTTCTTCTCCCACACCCAATTAAACCACCAAACATAAACAGCATGAGCACGTTTGAAATAATTTATCAGAGAAAATCTCAATAGGCATACTTCAAATATCACAAACCAATTCAGGAACAAGAGAGACAATATAATGGTTTCACTTCAAACCTCAATGTGAGTGTCTTTTGCATCAGTATGGGAAGTTTCAGAAGTGCTCCAGCCAGACTGGATAGGAGCAGTGGTTGCGTAATAGTCATCATCATCATCGTCATCATCGATATCAGCCCAAGACTTAACTTTCAAAGGCGTAGGTGCCCAGAAAACCTGTGGCTCAGGCTCCTTCTGAGGCTCTTGCCGTGAAGACGACTTAGAGGACCCTTTGCTCTTACCTGACTTGTCCGTCTTCTTCTTCTTCTTGCGAGTGTCCAAAGCTGCAAACAAGTTGGTGCTCTGAATCGTAATCGATCCTTCGTCTCTCTTGCTTCCACCTCCAGCCATCTTACTTCCTCTCAAGCAAACGCGATTCAGAAAAAATCAACAACGAAAAAAAGAAACAAAGATCGAGATAAAAGCAACAAGCTTTCTTCTGACAAACTCGATTTCACCTAGAAGTCTCGACGGATAAACAAATATAAACAGAAATAAAAATATGTTAATCTGGGTTCGATTTCTAGGCAAAATCAAAATCTTTGATCGAAAATCATTAATCAGTGATTGCCCAAAAGAAAGAACAGTGCAACCCGGTGGATTGAAAAAATTAGGGTTCGAGATGGGAAATCATGAAATCCACAAGAGGTTAGAAACGGAAACGAGCGAGAGATAGAAGAAGAGAAACTCGATTGGTATAAGAGATAAAGTTAGGGTTTTGCTTCTTCCTTGTTAAGGATGAGGAAATCTGGGTGTAGCAGCCGTATAGGTTAGGGCTAAATCCGAGAGAAGGAGATAACGCGAGAGAAAGACATTAAAAAGCTCGTGTCCCTGAATTTATATGAGATATGTAAATTTACCTTTTGGTACCTAATAATATTTGGTTTATCTTTTTGCTCAATTTGTTTATGGGATATACAGTTTAGCCCAAAAGTTTAGATGGTTAAAAACGATATATGGGGAATTGTTCTGTTCCAGTAATCATACTGGTTTACATGATGTTTTTTTAGAGTTGTTTGACTAAAAACGCTAATGTCACACATCAAATTTTATGTAGTATTTGAGGCTAGTTCATGATTTGGAGTTTGAAATTAGCATAATATATGTCCATCTTTAGTTGGTGTTTTTTTTTTTGAACATTAATTTGTTGGTGTTCTTAATATGTTAACAACGATAATATTAAGAACGGCTTGTGTAGCTTGAGGAATTGGGAATTATGATAGTGTTTGATTATTAACTAGGTGATTACCCGCACATTGTGCAGGATGAATATTAATCATGATTTTTTTATTCGAATATATAAATATAATATATATAAATACAATTAAAAATATTAACTGATATTATAGTTGCAAATTTATGCACTGATTATATAATAACAAATAATATTTACAATTATATTTATTTTATAGTATAATTGTATAAATGCTAGATACTTGTTGGTTTTATAATTAACTTTAATGGTATCTTTTATATGAATAAAATTGCACATTTGAATATACTAAATTAGATTATACATTCTATCTAACCGGTTCAACATCAGACTAAGATATTTAAATTTTAATAGAAAAAAAATTAATTATAATATACATTAAAAATTAGATTTTTTATTAAATAGATAATGTGTTTTTTTTAACAAAATTAAGATCAAAGAAATATGATATAAAGAAATATAGTGTTATTATGTACCTAAGTAATATTATGTATTAAATTTTTATAAATCTGTTTATAAGAAATAGAAAGAGAAAGAATAATATCTTTACAAATTAAATATTAAGTATTAAATATATAATTGATATAAACTAATCTCTAAACAAATTAATGCTAATAGCAAATGGTGTAATTACTCTAGTAAAACAAGTATTTTTTATATGTATTTTGAGAAGTTTTCTTATAATGACACATTAGCATGACTATCTTGTACACATAAATGTCATTTTTAAATTGTCCTTTCTCGAATAATAATAGAAGATTTTGCAGCCATAACACCGCCTAGAAAGAGAAAAAAAAAAGGAAAAGCAAAAAAAAAAGAGTGAAGCAGCTAGTTTTAGAGCATGATTTCTTTTTTTTTTATTGAGAAGAGAGAAACGGAGAGGATGATTTTTTTTGGGCAATTCTTTAAAATATCCCCAAAAACTTAAACTTGACAAAAAGAGCTCCGTGTTTTAGTGCAGACCAATATAGCATTGTTTTAATATAAAAACAATTGATTTCTATTTTCATTTCGATCTTCTCCGAAAACCTTCATTGAATCATATCGCGATCGAGATATACCGTTGCCGGAATCTTTGAAGTGTAATCGCCATAAACTGATCATCGGCGGAGTCGTATCTTCAAGAGGTAATCAATTTTCCTTTTGTTTGTGTGAGCTTTTTGGGAACCGAACCCTAGATTAGGTATCCATGGGGAAATGACTAGAACCCGGCGATCGGCCAAATTTCGTCGGATTTGTAGGTTCCGATGTTCGGATTGTGTGTATTGGGTATAGATGGTTGGATTTGTGGGATTTGTTTTGGTCCATACGGATTTGTGCATTTTTAGTAACATTTCTTTTTGAATTAGGGAAAGCTTCTTTGTTCAAATCGGATTTGTAGGTTCTGATGGTCGGATTGTGTGGTATTGGGGGTTAGATGGCCGGATTTGTGGGGTTTGTAGGTTCCATGTCTTGGTGCGACTTGAGCAATTAGTTTCATTTAGGCTGTTGTATTTTGTATCCAGATTAAGGCTGTGATTGTGTTGCTAAGATTTCTTTCTTTAGGTGATAACAGAGATAGTTCCTTTCTCACATGAAGCTTACGACTTTATCAATGTCACGTCTTGATTCTCTTTTTGTTGACTTTGACTGTTCATTATTTTAACTTCTCCTTGCATAGGGCTTTGATGAGTACATGAATTTAGTGTTTGATGATGCTAAGGAAGTGAGCATCAAGAAGAATACCAGAAAACCACTTGCTGAGTTATTTGAAACTTCGGTTCACTGGGAACCAACTTTCTGGAATCATTCAAATGATATAATTAATCTTCTTCGCATGAATTATCAGGCCCTTCATCAACACAAGTGGAGCTTGATTGATCATCAATGCATATGAAGCTACCATTTTCATTTGTTTTGTAGTTTGGTTCTGTCTCAAAAGGATGAGATACTAACCCAGATGACTTATTGGCATACTTATTGGGTGATTTGATTAAGGGAGCTGGCCGAAGAGTTCTTTGCCTTATGTGGTTGTTGCAGTGAACTTTGAAGAAGAGTTCTGCATAGGAGGTTTTGTAGGTTCTGAAATCTGCATGTATGATAACACATGATTTTGACCATTTTTATGGATCACTTTCAGTATCTTATGTAGGTGTTTTCATTCAGTTTTAAAGGTTTTACAAGTGTTTTCCATGTTTTGGAGTTTTAAAAAGCTTTTCAAGAAACTGGGAACTTTGGAGTGCATTTTGGAGCATATGTACATTTTTGGATAAATTCAGGCCGTCAGAAGTTTGTCAACCAATGAAGACCTTCTCAGCGTCCGATCATCCCCAAATTTGGAGACATTATAGAGGAGACAACCAGCTTTCCAACACACTTGGAATCAAAGCAATCCAACGGTTAGATCTCCAGATATCATCAATGCCCTGAAGGTCGATCAACACAAGCCCAGTCAAGCACAAGTGCTTTCACCCGCGGCTTAGGAAGTTTCACCCCCGGTGGACCTATGTCCGAACCTCAGGAGCCCAACTAAGGCCCAAGACACTTCCTACACCTATTTTACAAGCCCTAGACGCCCAAGACTTGGAGAAACACTATAAATACTCATTTTTAGGTCTTTTGTAAGGGAGCATCTTTCTTCTCTTTGAGAGAAAACTCATTTTTAGTTTTAAGTTTTATTTTTATGCATTTGTAAAAGCTCTCCATCGCCACTCTGTCTTCAATAAGAGAAGTTTTTCTGCAACTTTTTTTCTTTTACTTTTCTTGTTCTTAGTTCTAAACCGATGATGATATCTACCTCAGCCATGTCTGAGTAGTCACCTAGTTGGGTGAAAGGGTAATTCAAAGGGACCCCATGTTCGAGTGACATCTAGGTTTTTAGGAAAAGGATTTCGATTTTTAACATGATTCTCCCATTCATCCAAATCTCAAAGCGGTAATTCTGAATTGATCACCCAGAATCCGATCCTAGGTTTAATCCGAGCCACGAGAGTATTGTATCTAGGTTGCCTGAACTGGATCTTATGGATGTCACCGTCGTAGGAGACGAAAGCTACCTACGGAGGATACGTAAGCAGAGATGGATTCCGATCTACAAAGCATGATCTTGTTCTGGCATGAGAGCGAGAGATAATTGCCATGAACAAGTGATTAGATGATTAGGGTGACGAGAGTTAGCTAATCTTACATGTGTCTATCCTAGTTTCAGAGTCATAGAAAATCCTTGCGTAAATCCCTTGTGTTTTAGAACATGAACCCTAAAGATGAACCTTGAACCCATCGCCGTTCATATAGTTTTCAACCGATTTTTATTTTTAGCTTTTTAATTCTCTGCATAATTAGATTTAGTGACAGACCAAAACTTTTTTTATTAGATTAGGTTTATGATTGTCTTTAGCATCAGTTAGGAGTCATCAACACACAAATCTCTGTGGATTCGATCTCTAAATACTATTGCGTTTGCTGTGCACTTGCAGCTTGTCTAGGGTAAAACTTGTGTTGCCCACTGCACTCACATCACTGTATGAAGCTGATGTACATAAAATAGGATCTCGATTGTTTAGAATTTTAACAGTTAGAAAAGTTGTTTCATTTTGAATGACAAGTAAATTAATTTTAATAAAGCCTTCCTGAAAGTTTAAAAGGTTTCTTATTTGTTTAAATATATCTTCTGAAACATGAAATGTGCACATAAAATCATCATGTTCATAAACAAATCTAGAGTTAATAAAGAGTTACAAATATTCAGTGGCTTCCTAAACTTTTAGAAAAAAAATCATAAATCTTTCAAGAAAGCTTGCATACAGTTTTTAGTAAGTTTAAGAAGGTTTTTAACAAAACTTTCTACAAATTTAGGAAGGTTTTCCCAAATATTTAGAAAGAGATCCATTTTTTATTTGATCAAAGTTGTAATTAACACAGAATTTAGGAAGACTTTTCTTGGCCAAATTCATAGAGACTTTATAAGACTCTCCTAAGAAAATTTGTTGTCTATTTATAAATTTAGGAATGCATTCTTAAATGTTTAGAACAGCTTCCTAAATTTGCGTCATTGTATACATAGGCACAAATTTTTCATTTATACGTTTTAGGAAGACATTACTAAATGTGTAGGATGACTTCCTCAATTTGAGTTAGACACAAAAGTTTTTTACAGTTTAGGAAGGTTTTCCTAAATATGTAGATCGATTTTCTGAATTAAGTTGTATAAACACTTATTTAATACTCATATCTTTGTTTCTTGATTATTGATGAAGACGTTCCTAAATTTGTATGAATGTTTTCTAAATATTTATAAATGCTTCCAAAATTTGGAATTAAGGAAGCCTTTTTGATATGTTAACCCCTTACTATTTGAGCAAATGAAAATGAGTTTTAACTTGGTACTTATGTCTTTTGTAACTTTTCACTTAACTTGGATATATGATGAATCCCTATCATTACAAAAAAGACCACATGTCATATGCCCTATCAGTATTTGCTTTGGGAAAATTTATTTTCTTATAGCTTTTCAATTTTAGTGGGAGTGAGATCTTTAGCATCAATCTCTGCAATTAAACTCTGCAGCAGTGTAAAGGGTACTCATTAACATCTGCTTAAATGGAAGAAAGCAATGGCCTACAAGAATCACCACATCTGCTTAAATTGAAAAAGCTATTCAGAAACCCTTCCTAAAAGTATAAACATCCTTCCTGAATACTTCTAAGTGGTTACGATTCTACTTGTTTTTAGATAGATAATACAAGTAGATATTAAGTAAAATAAAACATACAATACTAACTGTATAAACATCCAATTTCAATTATGTTGCATTTTCTCTCGTTTAATTCACTTCTTCACGAACCTCTCTGCACAGATTTTTCAACAAGAAGATTAGCAAGAGATATATGTTGATTCACTTGATAAAAGCAGAGTAAAAATGTAAAATCTATAACAATTCGCTTGCTTCCTTCTCTCCTTCTTTGTGTTATGTATCAGACATATGACTAATGGAGAAAATGAGACAACAATGTAGTTTTCCTGAACATATGCACGTGTTGACTTATATCAGCTGTCCTAATTGCGCATCAAAGTCCCGCAAATTTGGTGTTAAACAGAGAACCTTCGTCTTCTCCATCTGGTTTTAAATCTTCTGGTGGTGCTGAAATGGAATTGTTGCAGGTATTTAATGGTGGTAAATCTTCTTCATGATCAATTCCTTTCCTAAAGAAATCTACATAGTACTTCTCTTCTACAGTTCTACTTATTCATATGAAAGCTCTGCCCTTGTAAGTTTTTCATATAAAAGAGCCTTTTTATCCAAAGCAATGTACATAATAGCGCCATCTTTGACTGCTTTAAGCTCAAGCTTATCCCTTCATTTCCCATTTCCTACATACAAAAGAACATTCATAGTTAAGAACAAACAAAGTAAAATCACAAGAGATAATCAAGCAGCAGAATTGGTCATAAAGGTGATCCGCATATAAGATTGAAAAAGTTAGGAAGCTTCAACGATTTCATCAACTTTAATCAAAAACAAAGAGCAGAACCCAAAAAATCGAATCGATTCTGGAATTACGAAACCTGCGATAATCAAATCGATTCTGGAATCGAATCGAACTTAATAATCAAAATAAGAAGTCTGCGATAATTACGAACCTGCGATAATTACGAACCTGAGAAATTCTCCAAATCGATTCTAGAAAATAGTTAATTCTGAACTCGAAAAATCTCAATCGAGAGAAGAAATTCAAATGCCCGGAATGAGGATAGGTCAGAAATCACAAGAGCGATGTCATCCTATCTTAATTCATCCAATCTTTAATGAATTTAATGAATGCTATGGTTGTCCCTTCCAGAAAAAGTTTAGTTTTTTGGGGCCATTTCATTCAATTTCTTTTTTTTTTGCCATAAAAAGATCGTTTTTGACGGTTATACTACGTATAAGACATTATAAACTTTCCAAAATCTGTACTCTAAACTTTGTTAAACACAGAAAATCATTCTAAAAATCGTAAAACATATAGAAATCCATAATACATATTCTAAACTACGTCAAAGATATATCTATACTATTAAAAAAGAAGGGTATTTTGTTTCCAAACAAGTTTTAATTAGTTTTTTACTATTTTGTTTTTAGATAATTCATATTTATGCTACCAAACAAATCAATTTAATATAATATTAATAAAATAATATATATTTTAGTTTATATTTTACAATAAATTTTAAATTTTAAATTTAAATTTAGATTATTATAGATTTCCTTAAATTTAGGTTATATTATTTATCAAAAATTATAAAATAAGTTATTATTATATTTTTACAAAAATAATAAATTTGATATCAATTAAGATTTAATTTAAATATTTAAATTCAAATAATATTTCAATGAAAAAGATAAAAATAATATATTACTGTATATTTTTATTAAATAAATCTAAAACTTTTAATATTCAAACTTAAAAAATATATAAAATATAAAAATAATATGAATGAACGGATTATAATTATGTTTTAATAACTATAATTTTTTCGGATTAATATAATTAGATATGTTATAATAACGTTTTTATAATTATTGTACTTATTATATTAATATAAACGGACAAAATAGAATAATGTTTTTCTAATCACAATCATTTATATACTAAAAATAATTAATTAATAGAAACAAAATATATATAAATAAAAAAATATTTATCATTTATTAGAAAATTATATATAAAAAACAAAAACATAAAATATATTACAAAAATTGATTAATTAAAAATAGTTTTCGTGCGGATGCACGGGATAGAATATAGTATATATTAAAACAAAAAAATACAGAATTCAAAATTCCAAAAACTGTAGAACCTATACAAAGAAATAACCGTGAAATAAAAAAAAATTCATTAACAATTTCTGTTTCTATTTTTATTGATATTTAAAGAAAATTCACAACATTATAGTCAAAATGTCTCTTTTTCTCAATTTCCATAATATTGCCTATATTATTGCAAAGCTAACATCTGCTGACAGTCCGGCTATGGATAGAAAAATGTTTATCTCAGGTTAGAACATCATATCAAGCTAGATACTTTTATCTATCAATCAACAAATTTCAAATCAACAGGTAGGTATAGAGTAAAATCATTGCAAATCCGAACGATCTTGATCATAGAAGACAATATTGGTTATGGAATTGTCTCCCATAGCAAGATCTTGTGCACGAACTTCCTCACGCAAGCAGACAAAGCCAGGGTCTTCAAAAAATTGCGTAGAAGATTCGTAAGACATATTTCATATCCTTGTAAAAATACAACAGTACTTATGGAGTCGTCGGAATCTGCCAAGCTTCAAGACGACAGATTTGAAAAGGTCTTGGCTGTAGCCGATGTTAGCCCATTGACGCGTGCAGATCGGCTCCCATAGCCGCTCGTCTTCTGGCGTCCTGTACCAGATCTTGCTCACGCAAGAGAACATAGCCAAGGTCTTCGCGTCCATGTGCTTAAACACCTCGGCTCGTACAGTACATTCTCGTCTAAGTTCGTGAATCTTACTTCTGATCCTTGTTGTTCTTCCTCTGAGCTCATCTTTTTGTTCGCGTTCCTCGCATCATGCTTTATCTGAGATCGACTAAGCAAATTTGAGGCTTAACTTCCGAGCTTGTACCTCTGTTTCATGTTCGTGCTCTTCCTCCACATCAACATCACCTTCATCAAGAATTTTTTCCTCACTTTCACTTTCCTGACAATTAAAACAAGAGAATTTCACCAGAACCCGAAAAAATCACACATGCCTACGCAAGAAGATGCTACCACAACACATAAATTAAAACCTCAAGGAGGTGGAATGCAACTATCTTCAGAGATGATAAATCACCAAACACAAACTATTACGTTTGCGATCATTTAGCTAAGTAAAATTTAGGAACCACAAAACAAAATCAGACAATTCAGAACGGAAAGAGAACTCAAACTCATGAGATTGAGAACAAAAGGCACTCATTTGAGGTCATAATCTGATAAAACATAAGCAAAACCTATGAATTTGTTTGGTTTCTGACCTCAACGTGACTCTCTTTTGCATCATCTTTCCGTGACGGCCCTTTGCTCTTACCTGATCTGTCCATCTTCTTCTTCTTCTTTAACGAAGCAAACAAATTGTTTCTCTGAATCGTAATCGAACCTTCGTCTCTCTTGTTTCCACCTTCGGCCATCGTAATTCCACTCAAGCAAACACAATTCAAATAATGCAGCAAAAATCCGCTTTTACCTGAAAGCCTCGACGATTCAACAAAGGGAAAGAGACGTAAGAGATGAAGGAAAAAAAATAGAAACAAATTATGAAATCTGGGTTCGATATCTACGCAACAACAAATCTTTAATCAAAATTTCTAGACGTGACGTGACTAACCACTGAATCCCACCAGATAGAGCAGTACCCCCGATGGATTGCAAAATTAGGGTTCGAGATGAGAAATCATAAAATCCACCGGAGGATAAAGGAAAGGAGCGAGAGAAGAAGAGAAACTCAATTGGTAGGAGTGTTTTCTTTATGGGAGATAGAATTAAGGTTTTGTCTTATGTTCCTGAATTCGAGCAAATTGTGTGAAACTGTGAATGGAGATGAGAAGAGACGAAGAACGAGTTATAGATTGTGCATGGAAGCTAAGAGCATCTCTAATGCTAAACCCCTTTATGGAGTTCATAGGAATATTATAATATTCTTTTTTTTGAGTAATGAATAGTTTAGAACTCTATTCTTTTTTCTTCCTCCAATGCTGAACCTCTTCATAATTTATTTTGTTCACTATTTGATTCTTATTTGACAAGAAAGTAAAACCAACGTAAACAATTTATTACTCAAGCTTGTAAAACCCTTACATGAATCCGTAGCCAATGACCGACATGTTTAAAAAAAAAAATACAAGAGCATATCTGCATGTCCTGTATTTAAAGCTTGGTCACCTGCAATCACTGAAGCAAAACAAACAAAAAAGAACATTTGGATCATTAAACTCGTCATAAAAGTGAAAAGAGTAGCTGTTTTGCAAGAACTAATGATGTAACGTTTGCCATGGTTTAACACAATGACTTGAGAGGTTTCGCACCTTGGTTTGGAGGGAAGATGAAACTCTGCTCAGAGACTTTTTCCTACAAGCCTGCTTAAAGGAAACGATGTTTCCATGAGAAGATGATGAAGGAGAGGGTTTAGGAGATCATAATGTTGAGAAACATTTGAGATTAAAACTCTTAAGTCTATGGATTAGAGGTTGAAAACATCTATTAAAATAATGGATGTGGTGTACCACTACTGCAAGAGACAATAGCTAAGACAAAAAAAAAATCCAACGTAATATCTAAAACGGGATTTTAAGGGTTGAATAAGTACCTTACCTTCTACTTCTTTGTCCCAAGGCTCTTTCGTTCTCCTCTCTTCTCCTAAGCTGGAGACTGCTAACGTGAGCCACCTTGAAGTCTTTCAATAACTGCTTAATCATGGCGCTTTTAACTGCGAGCTGGTTTGGATATTCTACAGAACCGATGGCTACCTGCAGAGAAGTTCTTGATCGTGAATCACGAAAGTGCAAGAACAAGAACTAATTAGGGACCAAAAAGCTGCAGAGAGCTGCATTATTGATAACAAAACAGCTGGATAATCCATTGCCAAGGAGATTACAATTAAATTACCACAGTTGTCTCTTTTACAACAAAAGAAGAATATTATGAAACCAAGTAAAATGGCTTCATTCACTAAAACTGGGGCACATTGCTACATTCTTTCTTCTTTTTTACAACGGAAAAGACCGTCTTCGTTGTAAATAAAAAAACAAACACAGAAGAAACAAAGTTAATAACCGTTTAGGTGTTAGACAGGTCCAGAGAGTAAAAAACGAATCTATGAGACATCACACCTGTATGTGAGTTTTGATGATCGCCTTTCTGATTAAAGTTGCTAGAAAGAATTCCCATTTCAGAACTCAGTAATCCAACCTAAAACTAGAGATTCAAAACAAGATAACAACAAAACATGTTTCAACGCAGAGCATCCTAATAAGATCATCTAATCAATCAATGACGAAAGTTAGAGGAACAATGGCGCTCACAGCGGTATAAGGCGCGAGAGGAGTGAAAGACAAGATGTCATTTCGATGCAGTAATTTCTTGAATCAGCAGCTTCAGGAGAATCAGGTTGGTTGCAGTAAACCACACGAGAGAAACCAGGTCGTCCAATACGTGAATGGTCTCTGGCTTGAAACAAGTTTTAGCAAATGTTAATGTGAAAAGCTTGCTTAATTATACCTTTCTTCTGCGTCTCCTCTCACCTCCTGCCATTGCCTCTCAGTTCACACCTACGAATAGATCCACACATAAGAATCAGACTTTGAGAACCTCAAAAATCATGGAAATTTTAATATTGTTAATATGTATGTTTATCTACGCAAAACCGAACAAGAAAGGCCATATTTTTGTTGCGTCACAGTGAACAAATCTCTTCGCAATCGCAAAGTTAAGCATCTCGATTTGGCTTCAGCTGATTAGGTTTGAAGGTTTCTCTCAGGAATCTTTTTCTTATTGCTCTACGAAGAAGACGATACGAAGAACAGAGAAATTTGAGAAGAGAGAGAGAGAGCGTCTCAAAAAAAACGTCTCACTAATAGATTACTGACACGTGGCTGATGAACCCTTCCAAAAGTGGGCTCTTGAAATCCTTCCCAAAGAACCGATTCATCGCTTTTCTTTTATTTTTGATTTATTTTTAATCAAAAGATTCTCTATGAACTTCTCCTGAACCCTGCGTTGGAGGTGGTCTAACCAACCAAGTGTAACATAGACATCTCAATTAGTCGAATCAGAAATAAACGGGTCGAATCGGATCGAGCCGGGTCGAATCGGATCGAGCCGGGTCGAATCGGATCTAGCCAGGTGAGATCTCATTGATTATTAGTAATACGGTCGGATCAGCGATAGATGACAAATTAAAATACCAATCATAAAAACCCGGCTTATATACGCCGGTTAGCGTTGAGACCGATTAAAACATCAACGCTTAATACTCAAATCTCGGAACAACCTAAAGCAGGACGGGTTTGATAACTTTGGTTAATAAGGCTGTTTCGGTTCAGGTAAACCTTACCATATCAACCAAACCAAAAAAAATCCCAACATGAACCGGAACCGAGTCAAACTACACGTGGTCCTAGGCTCTAAACCATTTATTTACCGATGGATGATGATATATAAACATAAAGAAGGTGAATCAGCAAAGTCTAGTGTCGAAGTTGAGAGTGACGCTCATGCTGAAGAGCTCCTGATACAGAACCTTAGCTCCATAAGGCACATAAACCCTAACCACATGGTCTGGAGATTGGCAGAGTCTACAGTAAGGTCCTCTGATCTTTCTTCCACCACCGGTTGGTGTCCTCTCGATCACATTAGCAACGTTTTGACAAATTCTGCAGATGTGCATCTGTGAAGAGTCACTTAGAGTGAAGAGACGCTCGTGCAGATTAGCTGAAGCGCCGTGAGCAATTAAGTAGCCTCGCTCCATATCTCCAAACTTGATTCCTCCGAACTGCTTCCTGTCTGCAACTGGCTGGCGCGTTAACGGGTGGACCAGTCCGGTGTTCCGGAATTTGACTTTGTCCTCTAACATGTGAATAAGTCGCTGGTAGAAAGTTGGCCCCATGAATATGAGTGTATGCATCATCTCTCCTGACCTTCCGTTGTATACCCTTTCATTTCCCCATCTTGACCCTGACCACAAAAATATTAACAATCCGGTATCAGGAGTGTCAATAATCAACCACAATCTAAGAATCATGTTCAGTGTATCATCACACAATCACAAGGCAAATGACTAACTTCTTAGCATAGTCTTTCAGAGATAGTGCACATCATAAAAGTCATGCTATCTTTTACTACTCTAGGAGATAAAACCAATATTCACTATGAGATGTTTCAATCTTATAAGGTGTTCCCTAGGAAGCAAATGTCGATCACTTATATTGCATACCAACTGACCAAGCCCTGTACTATTTCAATATTATGTATAGATTGCTAAAACCAAGTGAAAGTGAGAAGAAAATACCTGTGAAGCTGGTCGGTGATTTCCTTGACACTGGGAGTGGAGAAGGGAGTGTCATGACGTGTCAAATTTGTATATGCCTCAGAGTTGTGCATGGGACAAGCTATTCCTTTGGAGAGAGCAGCCTCCAAGAGTTGGCCCGGTGTTTGCCTAGAAGGGAAAGCGTGTGGGTTTATCACAATATCAAGAACTATGCCTTGCATAGTGAAAGGAAAATTCTCATGTTCCCTCTATATAGCCTAAAAACCTTTCTGGCCATGCATACTGGAAAATTTATCTCCAAGACATGGAGAACGAACCTGCAAGATGTAAAAGACAGATCAATGAAACATTTAGATTAATGCAAAGGGATATGCGTTATCTTAAAGACAGCTCTCACTTCAGTATGATCTGGAACTTACCTGTCTCAGAGAAACCACCGCAAAATTCTTCCCATCGTCATTAGTATAATGTTTGTAAACTGATGATATTATTGATTTGGGTATCGCTGTATATATACAAGTACAAGAGGAGATAATATAGGAAGTTATACATATCTGTAAGTTAGAGAATATTCAAGAGATATGCAGTATATTCTATACGAATATATCCCAATATCCCCCCTCAAGATGGACGGCGGTTAGCAAGTCCAATCTTGATGAACATGTCGGCGAACCGGGAACGTGGAAGCGGTTTGGTAAGAGCATCTGCAAGTTGATCCTTAGACGAAACATGAGAGACTCGTAGATTGCCAGCCTGAACGAGTTCACGGATGAAATGATAGTCCAACGCAAGATGTTTCATTCGAGAATGAAAAACAGGGTTGGCGCTGAGGTAAGTAGCACCAACATTGTCACAAAATATAACCGGTGGAGTAGAAACAGCGAACCCAAGTTCCTTCATGAGGGAGTAAAGCCAACGAACTTCAGAAGCAGTGGTGGAGACAGCGCGATACTCGGCTTCGGTTGAGGAACGAGCAACACCTTTGAGCTTTGTGGTAGACCAGGAAATAGGATGCTGACCAACGAACACAACGTAAGCACCAGTAGAGGTATAATCATCTCTGTTACCTGCCTAGTCGGCATCGGAGTAGGCATGGAGAGTCATGGTGTTGTTGCGTCGTAAGAAAATACCAGCATGCGACGTGCCAGCGAGGTAACGCAAAACTCGCTTAGCGGCGAGCCAATGAACCGTCGTGGGCTGATGCATAAACTGCGAGAGCTTGTTGACGGCAAAGGCAAGATCCGGACGAGTAAGGGATAAGTATTGTAGACTGCCAACAACAGTCCGATACTCAGTAGGATCAGCAAGAGGAACACCATCACGAACAGAGAGGGAAGTGGATGAGCACATCGGCGTTGGGACAGGCTTCGCATCAGACATATTATGCCGGTGAAGTAAATCAAGGATATACTTACGTTGACAGAGATGAAGTCCATGAGAGCTGCGGGTGACTTCTATCCCCAAGAAATATGAAAGATCACCCAGGTCTTTGAGAGAGAACCGATTAGAGAGGATGGTGATGAGCTCTTGAACTTTTGCTAATGAACTGCCCGTGATGACAATATCGTCAACATAGACGAGGATGTAAAGTGCAACACCATGAGCATAGATGAAGAAGATAGAAGAGTCCGCAAGGGAGTTCTGAAATCCAAGGCTGGTGAGAAAGGTCTTGAGCTCCTTGTACCATGCCCGAGGTGCTTGTTTAAGCCCATAGAGGGCTTTCTTCAACTCGCACACGTAGTCAGGTCGATCTTTGTCAATAAACCCTGCTGGTTGAGACATATAAACCTCCTCCTCAAGATTTCCTTGTAAAAACGCATTATTGACATCAACCTGTTTGAGTGGCCAATCATAAGCAACCGCATGACCAAGGACGAGACGAATAGTAGGGGCCTTCACGACTGGACTGTAGGTCTCATAGTAGTCAACACCAGGGCGTTGGTGAAAGCCCTTGGCAACAAGACGAGCTTTGTATTTGTCCACCGAACCATCAGGATTAAACTTTGTGCGAAAAACCCATTTGTTGCCGACGAGATTTTGCGTTGGTGATGGAGGCACAAGATCCCATGTACCATGACGAACTTGAGCATTAAACTCTGTGCTCATAGAATTTCTCCAGCGTTCATCTGCAAGAGCTTGACGAACAGTCTGCGGCTCAATATTATTGGAGAGAGAAGCCGAGAGAGAGTACTTGGGATTAGGCTTGCGAATCTGGTTCTGAGAGCGAGTAACCATACGAGTTGGGACTGGCGGCTCATCTTGAACATCATGTAATGGAGTAGGAGGCGGCAAAGAGGACACCGACGGCTCTGGTGAAGGATCAGGGGGCGTAGGAACTGGTGCCGGGAGTAATTGTAAAGGAGTGACCGTAGGAACCCATGCTTCCTCTTGCTCTTGGACCGATGGTGAAGGAGACCCTGCACTATGAGAAAAGGGAAACACAGACTCGCAGAAGGTGACATGTCGTGAGACAAATAGGCGAGAAGAGGAGGGATCAAGACAGAAATAAGCACTTTGAGAAAGAGAGTACCCAAGAAAAACAAAAGGAGATGAGCGTGGTTCAAGTTTGTTAGTCGTATAAGGTCGCAGCCACGGGTAACACAAGCACCCAAAGATCCGCAGCTTAGAGTAGTTTGGTGAAACTCCAAAGAGACGTTTGTAGGGAGAGTCCATGTTGAGAGTCTGCGTTGGCATCCTATTGATAAGGTAAACCGCGGTGGCAAAGGCATAGGTCCAATAGGTGGCTGGCATCGAAGCATGAGTGAGTAATGAGAGGCCGGTTTCAACAATGTGACGATGCCGTCTCTCCGACATGCCGTTGTGCTCCCGAGTGTGAGGTGGTGTGGTAAGATGTGAGATACCGTGTTGCGCAAGAAATGGTCGAAGTGCAATGAATTCCCCACCATTATCAGTATAAAAGGACCCAATCTTGCAGTTGAATTGATTTTCCACCAAGGACTTGAATTGGGTGAATGTGGCTGCGACCTGCGACTTGAATTTCAAAGGGAAAAACCACATATAGCGAGTGAAATGATCAACAATGAGAAGATAGTATTTAAAACCATCAACCGAGTGAGTAGGAGAGGACCAAACATCAGAAAACAGAATTTGTAAAGGACGAGAAGAGACAATAGATGTTTCATGAAAGGCTAGTTTATGACTTTTATTGATTAAGCATGAGTTGCAAGGTGGGAAATCTGAGGGTTTACAAGAAAAAGATGGAGAAAACGACAAAGAGATAGCTTTTAAAATGGGAAATGCAGGGTGGCCCAATCGGTGCCAATCAACAGATGAAGATGGAGAGGCAGATAGAGCAAGAGG